CATGCTGGTGATCACTCCAGGATGAACCCGATTGGTTTGAATAGAATTTAGTATATTTGTTTAACGGGTAATTACATTACAATAAGCCTCTCCCTAAAAGTTTATTATTAATAACTGCTCCCTTGTATTTTTCCCTCCTCCATTTTCTTGTAAGCCCCATTAACAGAAGTACAGCAACGAACAGATTAAGAAGTTTTAATGTAGTTTAAAGTTATTTTTGTGATGAATGCTAAGGAGATCCACTCTTCAGGTATATTATTGAAACTGTATTATGATAATTGTAGTGTGACATTGTGTTTCTTGCATTATTTGAACCTGTTATTTGGTGTCATTGAATTGCAAGTTTTATACGAGCACGTGCTAGAACATTCTTTTATTTGTATATCATATTCACTAATGATATCCATATTATAAGATTAATCCAGTCTTGTCAGTGTGCAAACAGTTAATATAAGAGAAATGCAACTAGTTTCAGATTTGCTTAGATTAGGCCTAGGATTATTTAATTAGTCAAAATGTGAAGTCATTCATTATGTTGTGCTAATTCATACTAAGACTAAGATATTTGTTTTGTATATTTCCAGAATTTGTATAACTTGATGAGTTTTGAGTTATGCACAACTGTATGTTGTATTATTGATGATGATTAATAATATATTCAGTAAAATCTCCAAGAGTATTCCATTCTTCAATTCCGGGTCACTCCTTTGTTGTCTGAAGATGTGTTTTGATATTTGAATCAACTACCAGTACCAGTTTAGTATTAGTTTGGAAGATAACCAAGTCAGAACACAAGTGTATTCCGAAGTTTCCAGTCCAGCTAATAAGTACTACATGGTGGATTCTGAGTTGAAGTTATAGACACTCTACAATAACTATAATAGATATTATTGTATTTTTATATTGTTCAATTTGTAATTAATTGTTTATCATGTCAGATAAGGGTAAAGTTACTTCTGTAGTGGGGGGAGGTAGTCAAGATATAGAAATTGAGAATTCTAATGAGGCATCAGGTAGCACTAATGCAACAGGTCAGTCAGTTTTAGAACAACTGAAGTCTAAGAGAAAATTGCTAAGAGGCGAGATAACTAGGTCCATAACTAGAGTTCGCACAGCCATACGCAAAGATGAAACAAATTGTTTCATAAAGAATTAGATGAAATTCGTAAAGATTATGCTATAGTTTGTCAATATCATAGTGAATTGTATGATTATTGTGATGATTCTCATACAGGACGTTTAGACCAAAGGGAGACAGACCTTACAAATGATTTGTATGGTATTGAGGAAGCAGTTGAAGACTACATAAAGAGTTTACAGATTGGTGAACAGAGTCAGCTTTCTTCAGACAGGTCTGTGGTACAACAGAATCGAGCTGTTATTGATACAGAGATAAGGGAGACAACTCCATTTCAAAATAACTGGAAGAGGAAGTATACATTCAGAGTCCTCCACTTCTACACAACATCCAGCATCTACTACTGGTACTTTAGTTAATAATAGTTTAGTTGGTCAGAGTTCAATAAGTCAGGTTAGTAGGTCTGATTCTTGGATTGATGAATTAGTTGAGTTTCAAGAAACAATATTACCGTCTTCAGTGTCGGAAATGTCAGTTGCAGATGCTCTGTATAGAATTGAAGCCGGTAGAGATATACCAACGCTTAAATTGTCTAAATTTGATGGAAATCCCTTGAATTATATTGAATTCATGGATAAGTTCAAGATACATATTCATGACAAGCCACACTTGTCTGATGATGTCCGTCTAATACAGCTTAAGATGCATTTAACAGGAGAAGCTGAAAGGTCTATTTCTGGACTAGGATCATCTGGTTCCATGTATGCTACAGCCTGTAAAACTTGAAAGGAGCAGTTTGGTCAGTCAAGTGCTGTTGCATCCAGAAAGTAACCAAAGGGGGAAAGATTTCTAACTTGGATTGAGAGATTTGTCCATTGATGTAATTAATTGTATTGCTGTTTTGGAAAAGATCCCGTATTGAATTTGATAAAGATAGTAGAGCGTCTTCCAGATCGTTTGATGGATAAATGGAAAAATACAGTTCCAGATATACGGAGTAAAGGTGAAGTTCCTTCCATAATGCATGTTAGTCGCTTTCTTCGTAAACAGGTTACCATTGCCTTTGATCCAGATTTTGGTGAAATGGAGAAGAGTTATAGTAAGAAATATGATAATAGTTCCAGTGGTAATTTCCAGAGGAATAAGCCTAAAGGAGTTCATTCAGCTCAACCAGAGAAGAGAAGTTTAAAATGTTTTATTTGTCTTGCTGGTCATAGAGTTTCAGAATGTCCTACATTTCTTGATAGTTCAATTCAAGATAGATTTAAACTTGTTAGTGATAATAAGCTTTGTTTTAGTTGTCTAGTCAAAGGTCATCGTACCGCTGAATGTCGTACAAAGGTTTCCTGTGGTAAAGATTCTTGTACGAAGAAACATCATTATTTACTACACACTGATCCAATACCTGCTAGCAGTACCGTTCCTGTGAAGACTGTTCTGGACAGAAGAAGCTTCCTACCTGTTGTTAGATTTCGGGGAAGGGAGGGTTTGATTCTCCCAAATGTACAGGCCTAGGGTGGAGCAGACACTTTATTTAGAAATTAGGATTAAGGGTCTTGATATTGGGTTTTCTTCTGTTCTTATTCTGATCTGAAATTAGAAAAAATAACTCGCCCGATGGGCGAGAAGTATAGTATCTGTTATGTACTGATTGTTTTTAGTTTACTATGAACAATATTATCATTTAAGTTCTTATTTTTTGAATATGCAACTATCATTTTCTGCTTATAGACATGGGGGAATTTCTCTTGAAGGCTCTTATAGTGGGCATGAACTATCTTGCTTGCTCGATTGCTGGTTGTATTAAACGGGACAACAAAGGGTGCTATGCCTACATTATGATGAATATTTAGTCCTATAGGTCTTGCTGTATTCAATGTCTCAATCCAATGGGCCTCCCTAGATTGACGGAATTTGGTAGTTTCATCTTCGGGCAAGTCAATTTCTATACGCTCGATTGGGATTAGGGTGAGATCGTCTATTGAATGGTCGTCGAGGTTGAAATGATTAGAAACAGGCTTGTCTTTCTTTAATTTGATGTCTGACCTATGAGCATTAAAGCGAGTTCGTAAATTATTCTTAGTTTCTCCTACATATTGTTTGGGGCATTTCTTGCATGAAATTAAATATATTACATTCGAATG